TCTTTGTTCTTGTTTTGTTTCTATGCAGGTTTTTTTTCATCTTGTAGATGAGCTGCCTATGTTTTGTTTCTGGTAATTCAGGGTTCATCTTGCAAGTATTAACTTTACAAGCATATTTGCTAGAAATAATTTTGCTTGTAAAGCAGTGACCATTGTATTGAGCTTTATTGGTAGTCACAAATTATTCATGTTTGGAGCATCAGGTTTTATTGACATGAAAGCGTATAATAAATGTATCAAATGCCCAGCTTACATTTTCAGTTTTGTTTTATAACCTTTTATTCGATACCATTTTAAATGTTTAGTTGCACCACAAAGGCTTGAAATTGCTCTGGTCTCTCTCCAGTTTGCATGGCAGTACATTGACCGACTGCTCAGTCCTTGTTTATTTTATGAGATTTTAATAAATTATGAAGGAGGGGACGCATTAATGTATCGACATGTTTGTCTAATGCTAGCTCAAGAGTGGAGCGCAGGTGCTTGTCAATAAAGCACTACGCCGTTGAGTGGACATTACTGAGCACTATTTCATAATTCACTTTGAGCATCAGGCCCCCAAACAGCCCTAACCAGATTTGAATTGTCTTAGCGAGCGCTCACGCATCACACGGATCAATGGTAATGCGCGCTTTCATAATGGAGATGGAGGTCAGAGAGCGTCAGCCCTCTGTGACATGTGTTAGCCATCATTGCATTGTTTTATTGTGTAAACATTGCGGTCAACGTCTGAAACTTTGAGGGGACGTTGATTGTAGATTAGCCTGTATTCCTGCTTGATTGGGCTGGTTTTTGCAGTGAGGTGTGGAGGAGTTCAAATGCGAGAAAGCCTTTAGATGTGGATGAAAGATTTGTCCTTAAACCACATGACAGGTTAAAAGCAACATTTGACCTACCGCTCGGTTGACTGGACCTCCCTAAAGACGAAACTCAAACCAGACGCACTGTCAAAAACAGACCCGCTTGACTCGCCACATCACACGCACACAGCTTAGCGCTGTCATAACGCCCTGAAACCAAGCCAAAGAGAAGAGCGCATGAAAGATAGAGCTGGAATAAGCGGGGACAAACAAACGCTTTCTCTGTTGTGCGGCTTACTGAAGCTTCCCTCCATCTGCTGAAACTCCAGGAAATGAGGAATTTAGGTGAGATTAGATTCTAATCTCACAGAGATTGTTCTTCAACAGAGAATTTAGACTAAATTCCTAACTGGCTTCCTTAAATTCATGAGTGTGAATTTGAACTGAATTCCCACAGGATTGTAATGACAGGAAAAAGAATTGACTGAACTTCAGGTCGAAGAAATTGCGCACAGTCACTAAGCAAAGGAATTTCATTAGACGAACACAATAACAACATGAGCGAGAACCGATTGAACTTTTTAGGTGTTCAGTTTAAAGCAGGGCTGTCAAACTCAGTTCCTGGAGGGCCGGAGCCCTGCAGAGTTTAGATTCAACCCTGCTCCAACACACATACCATCTAGTTTTCAAATAAGCCTGAAAGACTTGATTCGTTGAATCAGGTGTGTTCAATTAGGGTTGAATCTAAACTCTGCAGGGCTCCGGCCCTCCAGGAACTGAGTTTGACACCCCTGGTTTAAATGGATAGTTTATCAAAAATGAAAAATCGGTCATCATCTGCTCACCCTCAATTTGTTCCAAATCTATATGAATTTTTTTGTTGAACACAAAAGATATTTTGAAGGATGTAGGGAACCAAACAGTTGACGGTAGCCATTGGCTTCCATAGTACCTTTGAGGTTTCCATCTTATAATCCTGCTTTATGTTGTTTGGCACGATTTTCAAGACCTTGGGGTAATTCTGTTCCAAAACAATAAAATGAATTTATTCAGTATAATTTGAATGCTAGTTATAGGTATTCGCGTATATATCTGGACCATGCTGATTATTGGCTTTTTAAAATTATTATTATTCGATATTTAATTGTGGACACTTGTTTCTACCTTCATTTTGATTACTGATTACTTTTGCTGTCATCTGATTCAGTTCGATAGCATTAGGTACTTCTAAAAATTAAAATTTCCCTATATTTCTTACTGTGCATTATAATTCTTTAATGCCTAAATTCACTTATGCTTCACAATGTTGATGTGACACTGACAAAAGCTATTGATTTTAAGTTTTAGTGTGTTTTATATTTATAAACTAATTAATACATTTTTTTATTTTTTAAGACTGCTTAGTTTAGAATTTTAATATTGCTTTTTATATTAATTCATACTGAAAATGTTTAATATTTAATTAAAGCTATACACATTTTTATGAATTTCTTATGAGTTTCCTTCTGTTTTAATTCTACTTCCTAAATTAAAATTTGATATCAGCGGTGGACTGATATGGATTTTTTTGATGGCCAGTGCCGAGCAGGGACCATCATGCACAGAGTACATGTGGTTTTATTCAAAAAAAATTTGAATGCATATTTTGAATACGTGCGGGCTTTCACATGGAGCAGCATTTACTACACAGAGCCGTTGTTCACTGACAAGCTGTGCAAAAAAATGCGCGATTATGAACGTGGTTTTGTGCAGCTTGTCAGTGAACAACAGCTCTGTGTAGTTAATGCTGCTCAATGTGAAAGCCCGCACGTGATGGAGATTTACCGCTGATTACAGAACCAGCTTTACTGATAAGATGCGCATTAAATATCGCATGCGATTTATCGTGCAGCCCTAGTATTTATATGTAAGCATAATTGTAACTCCTATGTAGGTTGACCAGTAGTGTGTGTTACCTGTGTCTCAGAGAAGAAGATAGCTCTTCGTGTTTGCATATCACAGTGCAGACAGACAGAGTCAGAGTCTCTTTCATCAGAACATCCTGCCGCCTCTCTCATCAGGAATATCAGCACAATGATTCGCATTTATTTAAAATGACGTCATTCATTCCTGTGGCCTTTCCCCCACTGTAATTCATAACGGCACACACATGCAGCAGAGCTTGTCTAGCGAACCATCATTTCCCACTTCAAAGCCTCCCGCCTGCCTTTGTTCCTTCTCAAACAGGAAATCCAATTATTAAATCCTCATAAAATATGTGAAAGTGCCCCCCACCCCCCCCCCAACCACCACACAAACCTGCCTTCAACGACTTCACCGTTATTAATGATCAAGTGTAGTAACCTAAAGAGCAGAATTTAATTTCTGTAATGGAGATGAAGTCATTAATTATGGAGCGATCTCGCTCTCGCTGACTTCCACATTTATTTTTGCTTTCTTGAGAAATTTGATATTTGAATGGGATTTTACAGATGCCTGTGGTTGTTTTATGATTTATCATGTCATGCCATTCCTTTGTGTGAAGAGTTTGATTTGGCACGACATGTTTGGCTGAGATTTTTTTGGTTTGGGAAAATATCTTACTTTCCTCTTATTAGTTATCTTTTTTTGTGGTTTAATGTTTCCTGGATTCCAGTTGGCTTTTTTACAATTTTTACTTAATTTTATTTTTTATTTGGGTAGCTGATATGTGGTGGCACATACTGTACTCCATTTAAAACTATGTTAAGCCTCGTGTTATTTAATTATTTTAAAGGTCCCATGGCATGAAAATTTCACTTTATGAGGTTTTTTAACATTAATATGAGTTCCCCTAGCCTGCCTATGGTCCCCCAGTGGCTAGAAATGGCGATAGGTGTAAACCGAGCCCTGGGTATCCTGCTTCGCCTTTGAGAAAATGAAAGCTCAGATGGCCCAATCTGGAATCTTCCCTTTATGTCGTCATACGGGGAAAGGTTACCTCCCCTTTCTCTGCTTTGCCCGCCCAGAGAATTTGGCCCGCCCATGAGAAAATGAGCTACTACCGTGCGAGGCGAGCGCAATATTTTTTTTTCCTCGAGAGACATCATGGCTTGCAAGCGAGCGAAGCATGGCAGTTGCCACGCCTCTGTCCTCCTCATTAGCATTTAAAGCTACAGACACAGAAATGGCACGTCCTAAGGAAAGCTCATTGTGGGACTGGCTCGTAGTGGCTGAAATTCTGCACCAAGGCTGAATTTCGGGAAAGAGACTTCAGATACAGTACTAGGGACCACTTAGGCCTATATAAAAGCATCCAAAAAGCAGCATGTCATGGGACCTTTAAAATGAATTGTAAGCATTTATTTTATTTTATTCATGTAATTTCCATGTTGAATGAGCTAGTAAAGGAAAAAAGCAATGAACACTCAACAAGTTCATCTAAAACTGTTTAAATATTGTACAAATATTGTTTAAAATGTATATTTCTGTCTCTAAAATCTGGTTGGATGAGCCGTGTTTAAAACTATGAATGTGCTACAGTTACACTAATGAAGCATTTTTCTTGGCCCAAGTTGCGTTTTAATGATGTTCTGTGCTTCTGTATGATGTTCTGGTCTCTAGATATGTCTCGGGTCCTTCCTTCAGTGCAATTCTGGTTTTGGCTGTTTTACTATTCACTAAGTGAAAATTGTATGTTTGGCCACTTAAAATGTAGTAGCACACACGTGCATTGAGGAATCATTTGTTTCACAAGAAAGTTTGGTTTAAGTACTGTGGTTTAAGTTTTGGGGTTTGTAAAAAACTCAAACCCTGTGTATGAGCAATAATAATAGTGATGATTGCCATAGTCTTTTGTCATATTTATTTTGCTGCTTTTTTTTAATAGCAATAAGCCACTTTGAAAGTAGACGCATACAGATGATTTGAGGTATCATTCATTTCACAACAAAGTTTAATACTTTGGTTTAAGTATTGTGGTGTAAGTTTAGGTTTGTAAAAAAAGTTTGTTAAAAAAATAAAATCAAAATCAAAATCCAGTGCATGAACAATAATAATAGTGATGATAACCATGATAAATCACTGCACTGCTTCTTCTGGCTTATTGCTTTAAAGGGATAGTTCACCCAAAAATTTAAAATTGCTAAAAAAATAAAAAATCTTACTCACCCTCAGGCCATCCAAGATGTAAATGAGTTTGCTTCTTCATCAAAACAGATTTGGAGAAATTTGGCATTGCATCACTTGCTCACCAATGGATCCGAATGGGTGCCGTCACCAAATGAGAGTCCAAACAGCTGATAAAAACATCACAATAATCCACAAGTAATCTACACCACTCCAGTCCATCAGTTAATGTCTTGAGAAGTGAAAAGCTGTGAATCTGTGAGAAATTAATCCATAATTAAGACACTTCAGCATAAAAACATCACTTCTGGCCAAAATACGAGTCCATAATCCATAATAATGCTTACTCCAGTGACAAAAGTCTATCCCCTGTTGTCTATTAAAATTGACTAATTTGTTTGTTTTGGACTGTTTTTGCTTGTAGACTGTGCTTGATCTGTACATATTTCTCCCCTGATTCATACTTAGTCTCTGGAGAAAACAGTATTATGGATAGAGGAAGCAACGGTTTAAAGTTAAAAACATCTTAATGATGGATTTGTTTCTTACAAACATTCAGCTTTTCGCTTCACAAGATGTTAACTGATGGACTGGAGTGGTGTGTATTACTTGTGGATTATTGTGATGTTTTTATCAGCTGTTTGGACTCTCATTTGGTGACGGCACCCATTCGGATCCATTGGTGAGCAAGTGATGCAATGCCAAATTTCTCCAAATCTGTTCCCATAAAGAAACAAACTCATCTACATCTCGAAAATAGAAAAAGTATTGAGGACAAACCGTAAACATCTAATAGTCTTCACAAGAGAAATGCACTGAGGGAGTTTAATCTATATCTGTATTACCTCAAGATCTGGCCACCAAAACCCAAAAAAAAACACACACCCATGGTCCGCTGCACTTTGAAATTCACCCACCGCAGGGATGACTCCTTCAGCTGAAGAACCGATACACATGCGAGATCAGAAGAATAAGCAGATGTTTATTAGCTTGCCTGGGTTTTAGGATCGCGGGTAGGCCGCCTCGCTCTCTGGTTAAAGTCACGTCAGTTTGCTACACAGCAGATGAGATGAATAATGCTGATTCATGGTGGCGAGCTTTGGGAAAACGTTTGTTTTACGCTACAGCGCGTGTGTGTGCATGTTTACTGGTGTCTGGACGGCAGAGCTCTGAGTAACTGGGATTGTGGCTTGATTTCCCCCCTCGACAGGCTCCCTCGGTTATATACAAACTGCAATCAGGGCGACCACAGATGTGGCGTGTCATCGGGTGTTTCAATGACTGGGCAGATGTGGGACGTTTACTTTGTTGATTGTGAAGTATGCTGGTGGGGAGCAGTAGGGATGGGGCCAACAAAAAAACTAGTCGGTTATTATTTATCTAGACTTTTTAGCCTTTTTTTATGTGATAGATTGAAAAAATGACAGTAGACAAGACAGAGTACAGAAAAGTGAACAAACAACACCAACAACAACAAAAAAATGACCGAAACCAAAGACAGATATAGGATTTTTTGGCTTTAACGATTTAGCAGCATTGCTTTAAAGGGGATGAACTGAAAGATGAAAGTTTAGAGACTCATTAGAAAGTTTAGAGTCTCAAGTGTCTTAGTGCTGTTTTGGGTAATTATACTTTTTAATCAAAAACTGTTCATTCTCAAGAGAGAAATGTGCCAAAAAATAAATAAATAAATAAACAAAAGACAAATATACTGTATTTGACAAATTAGATCACAAAACAACTTTGCACAAATATTTAGGGCTGGGTATCGTTCAAAAATTTTCGATACCGATGCCTTGACTTCGATACCGGTTCCTGAACGATACTTTTTTCGATACCAATTTTATGAAATCAATTTTAACAAGATTATATTATCTAAAAAAAAAAAACTTGGTTTTATTTTTCAGCTTGTTGATGTTTATACAATCTCAAAGACTCATCTCCTGAGCCACTGCACAAAGGAACAAAATGTAACCAACACAATAAATCAGTGCAAATAGTTTTAATAAAGCTCAAATAGTCTTCAGTTTACACATCTGTTAGGCTACATTTACACTAGTGTGTGTTCGTTTTAAAACGCATAGCTCAGACAGAATCATGATTTCTATTTATTTTCCACTGATTTACTGATGAGCATTAGCAGCTTCCAGCGCTGTCTGCCTGTGTTCTCTCTTCCATGATCGCTGCTCTGACTCAGAGTCAGAGCAGAGGTAATAACATATTTAAATTCAGCAACATTACATGGCCAAAACACACATTAGACGGCAATCTGAAGTTATTACAAACACTCGATGGTGGTTTAAAGTGAGTTTTGAGTAAAAGCAGAATATAAATCTTATTTATTGTCTTATGAAGCATAATGCTACAGTTTTCATGAATGGCCACATAACACGCGCTTTCGGTCATGTAGTATGAACGGACATCTGCATATGATCGGAACTCCACGCAGCTCCCGCGCTACTCTCCATTGGAAACGAATGACTGAATGACCGGTCTGTCGCTTGGAGATGGTGGAAAGCCGGCTTGAAACGCAGTGGAAACGCCAGTATGACGAGGATCATTTTCATTTTAAAACATAAACGCACCAGTCTAAATGTAGCCTTACATCTAAGGGGGCTGG